CGCTTGAAGCCTAAAATTTGAGCTCAATTGAAGCGAAAGAATAGTTCGCTCTGTGCTCACCAAAAGACTCCATGATTTTGAATGTCAAATTACCTCTATTATTCGACATCATTTGTTATGATTTTTTTAAGCCCCAATTTTATTTTTTTGATTATAGTTTATATAATTATATTTATTATTTAATATGTTTTACCTTAAATATTATGTTGTAGTTGATTTGAATCATTTTGTTTCACTTGATTTTATGGTTTTTAATTTATATATGCTATGACTTGTGATATTTTTATACCTTTTAATATTGTAAACTTAAAAAAAGTGTTACATATATATTAATATTGCTTTAAATATTATGTAAAATTAAAAAAAAAATTATATAAAATCCGGGTTGAACCAGTGAACCAGTACCTTCACCGGTTCAATGTCCGGTCCGGTTTTAAAAACATTGCTCAGAACACTACCCTGCTGTTGGAAGAGTTCCCTTACTACTCTCCTAGACTCTCTTACTCAGATTATCCACGAACGCCGTCCATTCCTTATCAGAGGACTTTTGACCTTTCTCACTCACTCACTCTCATCATTTTATGCACCAAGTATATGTATCTTTTCCTATTAATGAAGTATAAGGTACTCTTTTCCTCCTTCCTCTAATTAAGGAAATCATTTCGAGTCCCATTAATCATTAAGGGGGTTTTTAATGAGGCCTTCAATTCTTATAAAAAAAAGGAAACCTACAAAGCACCCAAAGAAGGAAGTCCATGTTTAAAGCAACTAAAGAACGTAATAAACTAAGAAGTGTAGCCAAGAGAAGCATCTTTAAGCTCTCCTCAATAAACAGTCTAACACTTGGGTTAGCACCCCGCCTAGTACTCTAAGCAGTACTAATGTTTTTCTTGCAACATGGTGAAAAGAATTAGGAGAAACACAAATGTCTATGAACTGACCTCTATAGGAACGAACCCTGTGCTGAAACATTAAACAGTGGCCTGGGCAATTCATAGGTTTCAGTCCAAACTCTTGTTTTTCAATCTGCAGCAGAAACCAAATATCCCACCCCACCCCGAAAAAGAGAGAACATCATAGGAAGACTAAATGCATAAAATATCCACATGACATTAGATTTCCAGGAAGTTTGTATAAATGTTAAGATTCACCTCTACAACAAAAACAACAGAAACAAGTTACGTTTCTCTGCTGTTACACAACATCTCACCTCAAACAAAAACATATTCTCTTTATAATTTGCAGCATGGCCAGATGTTTCCCAAAGATTCATATTATACATGTTTGGTGACTTAACCTGCCAAAATTATGCAACTCCAATGACTTATTATTGGAATTTCATAAGTTTTAAATAAATATATAGAATAAAGGAAGTGAGAGAAGACTTTTAACCTCTTCGTAACCTCTTTTCCTGTACTCATTTCTTATAAATTCCATTAATTTGTTGTAAATCCGAGTGCCATGAGGAAGAAAAAACCAACTTCCAGGGCTGAAAGTTACCAAAGATGCCAAATATCAATAACACGAACATTTTTTAGCACAGTACTACAGGTCATATTAAGTTATACTGTACCTGAGGGGGTGACAAAAGAACAGCTCCTGCTTTGTACCCAACAATCTATGGTCATATTTCTTTGCTTCTTCTATCCGTTGGATATATTCCTACGAAAAACATTTAACTTCCATTAGAAGAAAAAATATGACGCAAAAACAATTAATGTACTATGAAACAAGAAAGTTTCTCTTCTTATAGTAATGAATTGCCTAAACACACTGCCTTTGTCTACATATGTACAAATTAAACCTAATAAAAGGAGCGGCCTTAAAGTAATTTCTGCTAATATACTGGATTTAGATATCCTTTGCATTATAATAAAAGAAATTAATATTTTCCTTACGCATCATACTCATATATAGTTGTTTCAACAATCACAAATAATTAAAATAAAAAAAAATGAAGAAACATAACTGATACTATAATAAATCTGACAGCCATAATCAAAACAGAAATATGATCTCACCTTCAAACGTTTCTGGTCAGGATATGATATACCATAAACTCTTTGTAAACTCTCACGATCTTTGTTTCCCCTCCAGTAAGCAGATGAAGCCTGAAGATCACAATTAATGAGTAAACCAGGAAATTTTGTTGACCAGGAATTCATGCATCTCCAAATATAGCTTTCACATATCAATTTAACATGTCACCTTCAAGCATGCAAATGCCTTCACAAAGGAAGTATTGGGAATATGAGGTCCACGACATAAATCAACCAAGGGACCACATCTGTATACGGTGATAGTTTTGTCTGCAGGCAAATCGTTGATGATCTCAACCTGATTGTAAAAATTAGCACTGCAGAAATTAGTGCAATGGGAAAGTTCATAGGAAGAAAAGAATCATTTCAGTCGATACAAAAATTCAATACAACACCACTCAAATTGCCTTAAAATTATTTTCAGCAAACAACTCAAGTGCTTGTTCCCTTGAAACTTCAATGCGTTCAAAAGGTTGTTTTTCCTGCATTAAGATACCAAAAGGAAATAAGAGCCTACAGTGAAATAACAGCTTTACCTCTAAAACAAATCTCATGAAATAGGAACACTATGAACATAAAAATTATCCACTGTTCAACATCACATAATATGATCTCACGACTCCTTTTTTTTTCCTTGACACAAGCTTCAAAAAAATCCGACACAGGTATGAGTTGACTACTTGAATAGAGTTACAATGAGCATGGAATAGCAAAATATTGTATAAACACCAAATGAGTATGGATATAGATGGGAGGTGATCAGATATAGATGGGCGGTGATCATAAATAAAACAATCAGAACTGTGAAATCATGACGTTGGTATTTTAGTAATGTTAGCAATACCGCAACAGCTTTCAATGCCCCAGCTTCAATTTGCTTAAAGTGGTCCTCATTCAAGCCCAAATCGCCATAAAATGCATCATAATAGAAACCCTGTGAAACCATATACAATCTTGTAAGAAGGAAAATTTACACCAAAATACCTCGGTATTCTTACTTAGGGATCAAGATGAAAAGAATGAAACATTAAACAGCAATTAAAAACATAACATTATTTTAAAATGCCTTTATCAAGTGAATTCAAATCCTATAATAAAATAACAAGCTAAACACAGTATTTCCAATTATCACAAAGCATAATACTTTATACCTACAACGAAGACGCGTTTGCTCATGCAATCTGATTGAAAGACATTGGGAGTTATCAAAACGTACATACAAAGCCACAGATATAAACACTAAGATCATTTAAGAGAAATATCTACACTGAAACACCTTTCAATATAAACAAAGCCCAAATAACCTTACCTCTCCTCTTGTGGTACAAGGTCCAATGCAAAGTTTACAACTATATATGCTCTCAAGGGACTGCATAACCACCAAAACAAATTAGCCAATAATCCCCCAAAATAGAACAATAGAAGATATTACATCTAATGATGAATTTTTTCAACCTCAACGAAAAAACTGAGAAGTTAATTATCAGAATATGGTACCCCTACATTACCGAAACTGACAACTTAATCCAGTTATTGGTAAACACATGAACTTGAGCAGTTAAGTTTTGCTGATCTGTAGCATATAGTTTGCTGACTGCTTATTTTCTTCCCACTAATTCTGAGTATATAAATTGCTAAAATGCTGATTTGAAAGTTCAACAATATATATCCAATTAGATCAATTTATCAATTTTCAAAGTTAAGAGCCAAATTGAAGTAAATTTTAGTAGAGGATAAAAAATATTAATTTACCTCGCCAAGGATGTGAGCACTAGAGTGCCAAAAGGTATCACGACCTTCATCGGTATCAAAATTGAAAATCTTAAGCTCACAGTCACTTTCCAAAGGCCTATTCATATCCCACAAAATCCCATTGACCGAAGAGATCAAGGCATTGTTAGCCAAACCCTTGGAAATTCCTCGGGCAATATCCATAGGGGACGAAACCCATTTTTTCCCTTCCTTAACTGACCCATCAAGCAACGTGATCTTGATTGGGTCGTGTGGAAGGGACTCAAGATGAGATTGCTGTTGAGACTGAAGGGATTGAAATATTTTGATGCGCTTTTCGATAACTTGGTTGAGATAGGCCTCGTCTTTGGGATGAGAAACAGCCATGGTAGAGGCGGAGAAGCGTCGGAGAAGAGTGGAGGACGGCTTAGAGAGAAGGAAGAAAGTTGGCTGATGAAAACAAGTATAACGGCGGACAATTGAAGAGAGAGTGCACAACATAGAAATGAAAGGGATTCTTTGTTCCTTATTTTAGCGTTTTACCCCCAGTTATGGAGGTTTAGGGTTTTTAACATTTTACAGCAAATTCATTTTTTACCGCGTTACAAACTAACGTAAAAGTTTATTACTAGACCAATAGTTTCTCCTAAGGACAAATTTAACTCTTTAATATTTATATATTTTTAATCTTACTTTTATTTTATTGATAAATATGACCTTAATTTTTTTCAAATATATTGAATAGTTAATTTTTTAATAAAATATTATCAAGTAATTATTTTTTAATAATTTTTTTTGGGTACACTTGAACAAAGCAGTAAACTAGTGTCTCAGCTGGTGCTCCTCGTTCTTATCCGCTCCCAACAATGCCTGAATTTCAGGTGGAGGCAACTTAAGAATAGCGGAATCATCTCTTTGTAGAAGTGCGAGATTCGCAAGTTTATCGGCGCATTTGTTTCCTTCACGCCAGATGTGCCGAACTTCAACCACCCATCCTTCCTTAAGGATGTCTAAACAATCATTTACCAAATCAGTTTCAGAGGCGTCAACCATTTTGTCTCCATTTAAGAGGTCCACAATCCATTTTACATCCATCTCTAGGATTAGGTTTCTAAGCCCTAGACTTTTCGCTAACAAGAGACCCTGCCGAGCCCTCCAAATTTCAGCGAGCGAGCTATTAACCCTCCCTAGTCTAAGCATGAATCCCGCTTTCCAGTCCCCATTGCTATCTCAGATCAGACCACCTGCAGCTGCCAGGCCAGAATTCATTTTATACACACCATCAGTATTTAGAATCCAACCCCCTTCAGGAGGTTTTTTCCATTTAACCCAACAAGGATCATTAAACATCCTGCTATGTGAGTTTAACAGGGCTTTATCCACATCCATTGCAAGTCGTTTGGCATAGGTAATCACTTGAGAGGGATCCATTGATGTTTCTTTAAATATCATTTCATTCCTGCTCTTCCACAGTCCCCAAATAATAGCCATGAACAAAGGTCCCCATTCTAATCCATCGAGCCCGACTTTCTTAGAAAGACAGTTTGATTATTTTTTAATAATGTTAATATAACATTTTATATGCTAGTTTATGAATACTTCATATTAATGTTTAAACTATTTTAAAATTATTTATTGACATGATACATACAATTTATGAATTGCCCGTCCAACTCAGTTGGTAGAGCGCAAGGCTCTTAACCTTGTGGTCGTGGGATCGAGTCCTACGGTGGACAATTCATAATTCTGACTGCTGGAGGTTTCTACGGAAGCTGCTCTTAACCTGGCGTTGGGGTCAGTCTACTGCCTTACCTATTACATATAAGAATAGGGTCAGCTAATTTTTAAACATTCAGTACAAAATATTATTAACCTATATAAAATATGTGTATTATCATAGGGGATATAACATAATTATTAACATTAAAAGTTTTAAAATTTTATTATTTTAGTTACAATTTTTATTAACACAAAAAAGTAATTTCCCTTTAATAGGTTTAAAGTTAAATTTAGTTGAAAAAAATATTAATTTAATTTCTAATATCTATAAATATTAAAGATTAAATTTATTAACTCTAATACAATTGTTATTTTAAATCATATAATATTCAATTTGTTTTGTTAATTAGATTATATTTATTGGTTGGAGAACGATGATATTAGTGGTCTATTTATTACTTCTAAAACTTCAATAAAATAAACAAAGTTTACTCAAATTTTAATTGTAATTTTTGTAAGTTACCCTTAAAAGAAAGTCAATCAACTCTGCCATTTAACTATCTTATTAATATAAAGAATCATCTGAAATGATAACAGTAATAATAATTTAAAAGGAAAAAAAAAATACTTTGATTTGTATAGAAATTAAGAGTGAATAATCGATTCGAAAAACCGGCCCAATTTGAGTAGAACTTAATACATTCAGTTTGATTCAATTTTTTTTTAAATAATTCAAATAATAAAAAATGACTCTTTATTCAATAATCTCGAACTTGATTAACACAATTTAACTCAACTTGATCAAATATTCATCCTTAATTCCTCTTTTATTTTAAATTATTTTCTGACCAGAGTTGAATCATATATTACTCTAACAATAAAATATGTAACTTCAATTTATATTTTTAAAAACAAACATATTCTTTATAATTTAATCTCTCAACTTTATATTTTACCCAACTTAATTTCCATAAATATTGTTCTCAAAATATTTTTCAAAATTAAATTATAAATATATATTTTTAATTTTAGATGGCATTTAATTTATTAAATATCATTTCACTGTGAAAAAGAATATATATATATGATTAGATAAAGTCGTTAAATTAGACCAATCCGTATAACATTATGAATATTTATACAAAAATTGAATTCAAAAACTCGATTAAAAAAACATTCAAATAAAATTTGAATTAAAAATAAGACTAGTCAACACGATTAACTCAAAATTTTATTACTCAATTAAGTCAAAAAAATTTACTCGACTTGAATCGATCAAATATTCACCCCTAATGGAAAAACCTAAATACAGGAAAAGGAGATGTTGACCTTATCTTTTGAGGTTTCAGATTCTTCCCCTAAAGGTCTGCCATGTATAAAAACTTTAACACCATATAAAGTGGGATTAAGGGTAAGCAAAAAGGAGTGGAGGAAATAGCATAAAGCAAAAATTCAGTTCCCAAAATTCCATAGAAGGGTTAATAATAGTAGTAGTAATGCTGCTCATGATAATATACATAAAATCAACTAAGATGAGAAAGCTTTTTTTTAGAAGAATCAACACAACACAAGCCCCCAGCAAAATCTTTATGTTACCCCCCCATGGCTACAAATTTTTGAAACTGAAAAAAGATTGCATGCACTATCAGTCTATCACTACACGTTGTTTGACGGAGTTTCTCAGAGATTAAAAGAAATAACTGGAGGGAAAAAAAAAGGAAAGAAGTTGGTACATGAATAACTCCGGCGTCCCTGCAGATCGATCAACCTCACAATCACGAGGGAAATTGTTGACTTGTCCCTCTTCCAAAACATCTTTGTCGTTTATCTTGTAAGCTATCCTTATGCGCATCACCAACGATTTCTGAAAGTTAAACAGATAAAATAAAATAGTAACTAAGCCTCTGCAAAAGACCCTTGAAAGATGGGTAGCGTCAAGAGAATACTTAACCTAAGAAAAAATTACTCGGTGGCATATTTCCGAACAAAGTTAACAGGGACATATTAGTCGCTATACCAGCAAGATCAACCAGGAACTATTAACGACCATGTCTTAATGAGGTATTACTTTTTTTTTCCTTTTTCTTTTAATTTCTTTCTCCCGGTTTTTGAATTAATCCCAGAGCAATGATCTTCTGTTCCTCAAGAGAAATGGGAAACTGGGTGATTAGAGACTCGAGGGAAGAACGATTTTGCTAACTAGAGGCTCCTGACATAAAACGAAATTTTAGCTCGACAAATCTCTCCCAGGTTCTTGATTTCATCTTCTTAGGCACAAAAGTAAAACCTAACCTCGAGCAATAAATTGTTTAATCACCCTAGGAGCCTAAACCACCCTTATTTGCTCCATAAAAGGGGGGGGGGGAAAGCACATACTTGTCAACTCCTGCTTATGGTGGAACTACATGTAAGCATCGTTCAATTGACACGGGATAAATCTAAGACAAATACTTACTGAAGTTAATAGTAATAATGAAGGCCAAGCTATTGAAAAATTGTAGTGCAAAACATGCTTAGTCAAATTGACACTCGATTCCTCCAAGTTCTTAAACCCCTATGATCAAAAGTTTCAATAATGCTTTTATATGATGAAGCAAAAAGCCGCATGTGGAGGATGGCTGCCACAATAAGCCAGTTAGGACGCAGAGCACCACTGACAATTTCACACTAACTTTAACAGAATAAACTATACATGTATATATATATATATAATTTACTAAACTCGGTGCACATACCTTCCCATGTTGGCTATTGGTGACTTTCATACTTTGAGAGATGGACTCATTTGCAGGCAAGATATTGCTGCTAGCCGGATCCAAATGCAGCTGAAGAAACTGCAGAGTTTGAAAGCAGCAAATGTATCAGCATCACTTGTTTTTAAAGGACAGCTATCCAAAGATTTACTATCTTCAATGATTATTTTAATCAACATATCACTGTTAGATTTGTGAAATCAATGAAGCCTAGATTTTAGGAACCTACAAACAAGGCTAGATAAAATAAGTAATTTTGAGGCATACAGAAAACTAGTAGTGAGGACAGGCCAAGTTCTTAGATTGTCACACAAATTCATTATAAAGAAAGCAACAGAGAGAAAACTGATAATGCAAAATCCACCTATGACGGATGGCACTGAAACATATATAAATTTCTATAATATATAAGTTTGGCAAGCTCATAAATGACCATCTTGAGTTACCTTAGGAACTGCCGCCTGGAAAAGAAAATCATTATAAACATTGGGTGACAGATTTGTAAAAGTAGCCTGTATCAAAGTTGTTTGTGGGTTTCCTGGTTGCTTTGAGAAGTTGAATGACATCCTTAAAGAGCTGCTCTCATATGCAACTAAAGAAGGATAAGCTGGTCCATTTTCAACTGCCAATGGAAAGAAAACTATTACTTCGGCAACTACAAGGGCTACAGCATCTGCCATGGAATTCTAAACTTTAAAATTTACCTTTCTTTTGAGGACTAGGGCCAAACCCATCCAATAAATCCATCACTGTAGCAGGACTTGCAGGAGAAGTGGGATTTGCAGAAAGTGGGGAAAGTGATGGGAGGCCGTTTAAATTAGCAAGCGGTGCTGTGTTGTCTTGAATAGAAGATAACATGTCAGATGCAGATGAGCTGCTTCGTGCCGGAGGCGATGTTCCAATTGACAAAAGATCCAGCAGAACATCTGTACCACCTTTTGGAGGCTGACTTGTACCTAAAATGTTGGATAAAATCAGCCTTTTTAATCAACAGGGAAGAAGCAATACTGAAAATATTTCACTTTTATCTGTGAACAAAATATAGGAGATTAATTATTTTCTTTTAACATTGTTACACGTTCAAAATGTCAACTTAAGTAGTTATGCGCTGCAACCATCATAATCATGCAACGTCAACTTTCTTTTAGCACCGTTACACACCCATTATACATACAAAACCAATTTCAAATTCAAAATTATAATGATGGGGAAATCAAATTTAAATGTGATTTATGTTCTTTCATAGCATAATCTAAAGAGCTGGGTTTTCAGTAAAAAGTTATAGATGTTTTCCTGAACTGCCCACTAAGAGTATCATATATAGATGATGGATGCTCAGCAAGTATAAGTTAAATAAAAAGGATAAAAAGTCTAAACACTTGGTTCTAGAACAGCCTTTTTTAACCTGAAAAATGCTAATTTAAGGCACTACAGCTGCAACATCCTAAGAAGATTGAAGTATTAGGTAATTCATGGATTCGTTGATTGGAGATCCTTCCCTTGCAGACGAGTTCTGTTTTAAAGGTTTAGTGTAGGCCTTTGCTTTGTTGGAGTCCCCCTCCAGTTGATTTCTTTAAGATGAATGTGGATGGAGTTGTTAGTTGTGACGGGATGGTAGGAGGTATTGGTGGTATTTTAAGAGATTGGTATCGCTCTACTCACCTGTCTTTTTCAGAAAGTGTTGGTCCTGGCCCTCCCCCTTTAGCAGAATTGAAAGCCATCAAAAAAGGCATCGAGATCTTTATCTCTTCAGAGTGGGTTTCGGAGGGTAGACTGATTGTTGAAAGCGATTGCAAGTCGGCAGTGGAATGGATTAAATCTCCTTCGGCTCCTATTTTCTTTAGTAATCTAGTTAAGGACATTTTGTCTATCGTATCAGCAACGGCGTTTATAGTTAGGTTGATCCCTAGGGGTTGTAATTGTGAGGCTGATAAGTTAGCGAAGGAGGGGATTAGTTGATTCTAAGGATTTTTTTAATTGTTCTCTGTGTTTTTAGAGAACAGATGTATTTGGTGTATTTTTAAGACTTATGTAACCTGTTTATTTTCAAAATACTGAGGTACTTTTTTCCTCCTTCCGCTAGTCGGTTCTTTCCTTAGGGAATAGGACTACTATGAGGGAGGTTTTTAATGAGGCCTCCTACTTCTTTAAAAAAAAAACCATAAACATGTATGAAAAAATTAATTTCACTCAAATGTTTCTCAAATATGTACCATCTGTGCATCCCAACTTACTTGGAGCAGCAGAAGCAGGGGATAAATCAACACCAAGAAGATCCTGAAGAAAATCAACACCAGAAGAACTAGGTGCAGGAGCATCATCTGAACTTAGGTCAAGTAAGTCTGCAACAGGAGCTGCAGCTGGTTTAGCAATTCCATTGGGAAGATTACGCGCTGTCCCAGTGGATGTTGAAACAGATGTAGGCAGGGAGCCAGCTCTCCTTCCACTGAAAGTTGCCTCATCCAAAACTGGCATCCTTTCAACCAACGCAGCTCTGTACCAATTCATCCATCAGCTTTGTACTTCACAATGCTACATTGTTCAAAGCCTTCTGAAAAGACATGAGGTAAAATATAGAATAAAAGGCAAAATTTTAATCATACCTAATGTTCTGATGCTTCTGAAGAATACAATTAAATTCAATAGAACGCTGTTGCAACTCAAGCACAAAGCTCCGTTTATTCTGAAGAATTATATCCTTGATCCTCCTGGAGATACAGATATTTTTTTTTCATGGCATATGAAAAAATAACATTCTTCAATTACTTTGCAAAGAAATTTCAAAATAAATTAAAGACGTTAAACCAATTATAATATGAATAAAACAACACAAATGTAACAATGTTAATAATTTTAAAATATGAAAAAAAAGTATATTCTCCCCCACTGATTCAACAATTAGGGGATTAATTTAAACGTATTTTATATAATTGAAGAATTGATCATTGTACAACTTATTTAACACAAAATCTAGTGTTATTTGAATTGTACCAATTTGAAGTGACAATTTCGAATATGATGAGAAAAATAATTAAAGCATAATATGAAACGGAAAAATAATACAAATATGAATTTGTAAAAGAGCCAATATATAGATATAAATAAAATGAATCATTAAAGCACTCAATTTTATATACCTTAAATACAATTATGAACAAAAAAATAAATACGCCATGAAAACATAAATAAAAAGAAACTTTGCCTTTTCCCTCACCTATTTCTAATCTTATCTTTTCATTCTCTTGTTCTTTACTTCTTACAATAATGATGATGAAGAATGTCCATGAATCGAATAAGCAATTGATGACAATATTACTTCATTTAATTAATAAGATACTTATTTTTAAACCCCTACCGAGCTAAGCTAGTTGAAACGTGCATAACCAAGGGGAATGAGATGATAAACGATAAAATGTACATGGCAAAGCATTAACATACTCTGGACAAGATGGGAAACGAGAAGAGAGCTTTAACAGCGCAACCAAAGCCATTGCTTTAGTAGTGAGATCAGAAGAATGACGCTTAATAGCAACCTCTACAGCATCCACAGCATCAGACTCTGTTACCTGCAGTTTAGGAAGAATGTAAAGTGATAGAAATAAGCATTCAATTTTAGAACAAGATCCTGACATGAAGGACTTTAGTACAAAAATTAAATTGGTTTTATGTGATTCTACGGAAAAGATTCAAGTAACAAACATGTCAATTGGAAACACCCACTATTACATTTTACTGCAAGCAAACCCAAAATATTACAACCAAAAATAATATAAAAAATACTTAAATGAGATGGTTTGGATAAATCACATTACCCATAAACCCAAATCAACACCATACTTGCTCTAGATTATTTTGATTAATTCTGGCTTTAGAATAGATTTATCCCTAGGTAGCCAAGATGTATTTGATTGTTATAAGTAACTCAGCTATACCACTTTAAAACATAGATGAAGTTCCACAAGAAAAATCTAGAATCTGATGAAGCAAATGATGAGTTATACGTTTTGTACTACCAATTAAACAAACAATACAGATACTGGTTCTGTTAACAACTTCATTACTTTAAATTCAATTTAACGGCAACCATGTCATAAGTCTTTTAAGTGTTAAGCGTAAGGAAATCTTTACAGAAGCTGAAAGGGATCATATTCATCAACTAGAAGATTCCGCTTTACAAACTCCAGTTCATATATCACAGCCAACTATCGGCTGTTTTCCCTCTTTTTTTTTTTTTACTGAAGATGAAGAAATGCAAAATGATTACTGCGAGTGTATGCAAACTAGTCAATGGACAAGGATGCACTTACAGTTATTGGTTCTTCAATATCAAGCATCCCTATATTATTCACCAACATGTCGCCATATTCACCAATACACCAAACTGCAACGCGAACAAGTGATTCCTAATGAAAATATCAATTGGCATTTTAATGATTAAGTAGATAAGAATACAAATCTAGACATATAAAATCTAAAATAAACCAAAGAACACCTGTTCTGTTGATGTATGGAATGCTCTGTACAAAGCCCTGACTGAATATCCATGGAGGTCAGAAGCATTACTTATGACAACGATAAGGGCATGCCAGACTTCATCTTTTACAAAATTTCCAGCCTACAAAGCAACAAAATGATTTATAGTAGTCTCTTTTGTTTAAGAGTCTTTTATGATAAGAAAGAGAAGTCTTATGAGCCTTTGTAATCTAGATAGAAGTTTATCTCAATTTATTCTCTAAGATTATAACAGTAACCAATTACAGATCCAAAAATCATTGACCTGGCTACTTCTCTGGATCCAAACCACAAGTCCTTAACAAATTACTAGTGGTAGTGGCTTTAAGTCTCATATGAATTTAATCAATCACATTCATAAACCCTAATTGACATAGAAAGGCATCAGAATCCTTATGTATTTAAGTTTTGATATCCTCATTGGGGTCACACATCACAATCATAAACAAAACCAAAAAGGACAATGATCGTACCATAATCAATACCGAGTTACAAGAAGAGCTCATGCAAATTGCGAAGGCCCAGCAATTTTTCAGGGCTAACCCACCAATTCTCAATAGTTAAAAGCTTAAATTCAAGTTCTAGAGTAATGTGAGGACTTGTACAGTTTTCATAGATGATATTTACTTAAATCTGATGTGGGATGGAATATCTCATTTTCAGCCTTTGATAGTTCATTAACTCAAAGGCAACAAGTGGCAAAAGTCACAGCTGAGACAAGTCCTCTCACTAGATTTAACTTGAAGAATAAAGAGGGTAGACTTGTGCATTTGACAGTAAATTGAGCCCAAATTTCACCAAAAAATGTATTAAATTATCCAATTAAAGCACCACCTACAAACAATGCAAAAATGTATTTCCCTTTCGTTTGTAAGGGATTTTATACAACAAGATCAGATCTTTAACAAAGATGTTCAGTAATCAAAAGAGTAAAGATGAAGACATGGTTTACCACATTACTTAATGGACACACATGCAAAACACTGGGTCAGATCAAGGATAGAAAAATAAAGACATCAGTGAAACAAAAATGTGATAAAAACATCGAAGAAAAAGTAATATTCTGCAACATCAACTAACAGAGACTGCAACAGGTGCAACTCAAAGAAGAGAGAAAACGGTAGCAAAACAGAAACATGGACGGGGATGAATTCTGTGGAATAAGAAAAATAAACATATTTACTCCAACTATAAAGCAATGCAGTGAACAAAAAAAATACCTCGGAAAGAACCTTGAGCATCTGATCAATGTACCAAATTTTCTCTGGGGAAAACCTGAGGCAATAGAAATGATTGTTAATCGACTAGGCAATGATCCAAAGTAATTCCAAACAAATATTTCAGCATCCCTCCACCAGCCAAAAGATACATGAAAATACAGGGCCAAGAATAGAAAGCAAATAGAAGAAATTACAAATATTATAGCATAAATTAAAAAAACAAAGAATAATAAATAGCAGAATTGAACATACTTCTCGACAAGGGAACAAATCTTGGCAGTAAGAACTCCCTTAAATTCTTGATCGCTTGTTTCCAAATATTCAATTAACTCTTTTGTCAGAGGCTTCACATTACTTTCATTCACCAGCAAGTATACAAGGTCAAGTGCCTTCTTTCGAATTGAAGCATCTGAATCCTGGAAAACAAAATTTCAAATCAACAACTTCTTCAATAGCTGAAAATTCACTTTTTGACAATAATAGCACTTGTAAATAAAGAGTTCAACTAAAAGCAATCATAAAATGATGGAAACTCTTTCTTTCATTCCTTTGAGTACTATGGCTCAAACATAGGATCTCAACCCAATTCCTACTCCACAATACCCTAATCCAAGCCCAAGGGCTGATGCTAGAAATTTCTATATCTCCAAAATTGAATCCCTACTATGTCCAAATATAAATCATAATTCCTTTTGACTACAGGGAATTTATCCTCGACGGGAGATAAAAATTAAGTGATATCTAAAGGGAGAATTAATCCTCGCTGCTTTAGCAAGTAATGACAGTCATGCTCATTCAAATATGGGATTCACCTGAAAGTAACAAATAAATAATAGAACCAGAGAAACTGGGTAGACAAAAAGCAAAGCATATGCAAACTCCCTGAGTGCATTTTGAGCAAGAGCTAAATCAGAGACCTATCTTCAACAAGAAGCATGAATCTTAATATCCTCAGGCCCTACCTTTACACATTCCAAAATTGTTGCCCTATGTCTCTGCACTGCTTGAGCATCCACTGTCATAGCCTTCATAAGCATATTTAATGCAACATATCTGAAAAGCATGCAAGGTTCAATTCCATAATATAGTAGAGTAACAAAGAAAGAGTGCAGAAAGGGATATGAAAATTCAAGATAAGATTAGAAATAAATTACCTGATATTGTTGTCACGGTTTGACAAGAATCTTCCCAAGATATTGACAGCAAGCACACGCAAACCACCATTATCTTCAATGCTCATAATGGTTCCAACACATTCATAAAGAATGGCATTTCCCGCATTTTTATTTGACTCGATTTTGTTGCCACCTAAGAACAAAATTGGTGACCACAAGGAAAAATGAGTAAAAAACCCTTAACCTCGTTATGAAGTTTGGATGAACAGCAATAAAAGGAAAAAAAAAGAAAGGAAGAGGAAAGTGAAGGATATATGTAGATCTAGTTTGGATAATTAAAATTGGTAAAGGAATTTTAACCATCTTTGTTTGGTTAAAGAGCAGAAAGGAAAGCAAAAGATTCATTATAATGAGTTTTTCCAATTATAACCCTTCCATGAGATGTTTATATAAAATATGAATAGAACAAAATAGATATTTTACGTTTTTAAGAACACTCATTTTCCTTTCCATATCTTTCCCCCCAAATTGAGGTAACCAAAAATTTGATGTTTTAAGGGAAAGTAAGGGTTACTCTACTCCCCTTACTTTCACTTCTTAAAAAAATCCAAGGAAAGGAAGATCCTTTCCCTTCCGTTACTTCAATCCAAACAAAGAGTAGGGAATGAAATGCTGTGAAGACCAGGAAATGAGTTTATGCAACATGTTTAGCTTATATGTTCTTTTCCAGAATTCAGCTTTTGAAGCAATATCCCATATACTCCAAATAGATCTTTTCAATTAACATGCTCCAAGCAATCTCATCAAGGTTTTTCTCATGTGAAGGAGAAAAATATGAGAGGAGTGTGGTTAATTTTCTACTGAAGTATTTTTTTATCATGCAGTACCATCTTAAACCATGATACTTAAGAGATATATCATTCCTCAATAGAGAAATCTCATCAAGTGTCTTTTCAGAACCTCTAATAAGTAAAATTGATTTTCCACAGACGACGAGCATGCACATCAAATTTATCTCAGAATAAAAATATAGAAAACAAAAATCTCTATGCTATCACAACGAAATGAAAACAAAAACCTCAATGCAGTTAGCACTGGCGAGAGAAACAACAGAGGGATATGTATTTTTCTTAAATACTTCTTTCAGGACTGAACACATTACAAAGGTGATAGGTCACAACATACCTGAGCGAGTATGTCATTCATACAGTCACTAGCATCAGCATCTCCCTGGCCCAATATCCGCAAAAGCTTAAGCAATCTTATATGAAGGAAAGGATCTGTAATGCCAGCAACGTCATACTCAGGTGCATAGGGACTGTTTGCCATATCCCTCAGAGTTTTTACCAAACCTTCAGTACACTTCTGCAGATATGAAAAAAAGAAGCTATTATTTAGAAGGTTAATGCATCATCCATTTCTGACATGTTTCTTCCTACTAAAGTCCACATATATGATTCAGTCTAATCCTTAAACACAAAAATGGGTCCCGTTTTTGCATGACCCTGAAGGCAAAAATAAGCTCAGAAGTACTTTAAAGCAAATTGTAAAATTAGCCTGAAGCATCTTAATGTGAAAAAGCCAAAAGATAGCCAACAGTTAGGAAAGAAAACCAGTCAACCTGATCCCTTTCTTCAATCCTTTTGGTGGTAAGTATTCCCAGCCAAAACCAGAACAAAAGATTGCTGCTAAAGAGGAGATGTTCCAAACAAGAAAAAGCAGAAATTCACTATTTACAAAAAATTAAGCATTATAGCTTCTTCTTCTTTTCACAGGGTTATAAAACAATTCATATACTCGATATGGAGTTTTGTCTTTCCGATGCTATAGCTATATTCTTACAAATTTATAACCAAATTACCTCTCTGAAATATTCAAGGGCTTCTGAACTGACTTTACATAGATCCGTACAAAGTTGAACTCCTGTTATTAGGACTCCATGATGCTTTTCTCTAAGCAGCAAAGCAGCAGGATTTATAAAGTTTTCAGCAAGGTCCGGAACTTTCTTTATGATCCGTATGGAGCACAATGCTGCCTACAAAAAAAAAGATTAGAGTCAAGAGGAGTCAAATATTGCAATCAGATTTCTCAAGAAAATACGGATAACCTAGAAATTATCAGATAATGCACATGATGAGAATTCATAAACAAAGGGAAGCTGGCAGAGTCAGAATGAAAAGAAAAGCACAATGCCTTTCTTTTAAATCATCAAACAAACAAAGCAACATTTTACTTTCTTGGAGTCATCAAGACAAACTCAAGAGTTCTCATTTATTAGCATTTTTTCTCTTGAATGGGTATACGCTAAAAATTCTTCTGGTTAAGATAAACGGGCAGAGAAATATCCATATTTCATAAATGTAGTATTCCTTATGAAGAATGCAGAATATCATTGAACAAATATCACACTATTCATGATGTAGGAACATAATTACATAATACAGTTTGAGGTCTCAGTCAAGTGGCATGTGGTCATGGATTCACATGGATTTTTAACCTTTGTATTTACAAAATTACAAAGGCATTATTGGAAACAGAAAAAAAAAGGAAAACAAACCATGATACTTGTAGAGCTCAACAAAACAAATCAAAACTTTCCAATTTCTGTTGAAGAAAGGAGGATGAAGAAGATATCTTTTAAGAGGGATACTTAGAAATGTTTAAGCATAGCAAATTCACGAATCCTAAAATCAGCCTCAATTTTCCTCCTTTACTTCATCTCATTGAAACCAAACTCTGTGGCCTTGAATAAAGAGTATCACACACTTACTTTCTTCCTGATATTTGGATCTCGAAACTGCAGCAATCTTTCTACTTCTGGTGCGAGATCACGAGCCATTTCAGCAGAACAAATATTTCCCAGCGCACAAAGAGCAAGCCCTATAATATACTGGTTTGAATGATTGAGATCTCTGCATAGAAGTTAAGGTTTCTGAAAAACAAAAAGTAAACTATATCTCTCCATTTTCTTTTTCTTACCCTTCGTAATACCAGCCTATCAGGGACAATATTATTCGTTAAGAAAATAAATGGTAATAGGGACAAGGAAATGGGAACAAATTAAACTTGAGAAAGTCTACATGTAGGATACTGCTTTAATGAATTTGTCACCAACATCAAAACCTCTTGTCTTTCATCAAGAAGCAACATAAGACCAAGATATCCAATCCTCTTCTCTGGAAATCCAGAAGATGCAATCAACTTCAGGCACTCCATTTGGCCAAAATGCGTGGGATACCCAAGCATGTGAATGAACATGAGCTTTGCCAGGTTACGGTGCCTATAGTCTTGATCATTTTCAAGAATTGCTGCACGAATAGCAGCACACTCTTTCCTTACAACAGCACGTTCTTCCGCTGCAGTTTTGCAAGCACGTATAGCCCGTATCATGTCCCTGCATTGGAACAGTAAGTTCAACAACTTCAATTAATAAGCACATAATCTACAGTTAAGTCAATCATTTAGATTCTTTATTATAGCTTGGAGCAGAAAATGTACAAAATATGTGTTACTCGTTAATTTGATTCATTTGGTTTGTTGGTGGGGGGGGGCACTTATACACTAAATTGTTTGGAAAGTACAACAGTATTCTTAAAAACCAGCCATGGGACCTGCCTAACAAGAAACTTTTCAAACCATAAGATATCAGATCCATGGTCCCTTTTTCTTTTTCCCAAAAAAAAAGGTATAACTAAGAGAACCTTTTTTGTAACATACATATAAAGTTCTAGTCAACAATTTCCCCTTCCGCTTTTTGTTAGTATGCCTTCTCGGCTCTCTGGCAATTATGAAAGGGGTTTTTAACAAGGCTTCCAATTCTTATCAAAAAAAAATTCTGGAACAAGAAATACTCATATGCAAAAGAGAGGAGATAATTTATTCCTACTTACCAGTTTTTTCCTTAAAATAAAAACACTACTGATCATTCCATATAGGAAGAATCTCAAGCCATAAATTATCAAATGAATATAGAAAAGGAGGTTGAGATCTTCATACCCAAAAAATATGGATAAAATTCAGTAACCTAATGAAAAGAACTAACTCAGAATTCACATAACAGGGAATGGAGGTTATCATTCAACCGGGTTCTTTTGCTATCTATATAGATGAAATACAGTAATCTAAATCAAGTTTTTTTGACCATTTATATAGAGAAAGATACAACTATTCAGTTCCATTGCAACAGATATAAGCAGCTTCTAGAATCACCTAACATTCTCCACAAGGAAAAGCAAAACGAGAATTGGATTTTCAAATTGTTTCCTAAATCTTTGATGAGTACTACAAATCAAGTTGAACATAAAACCACAAAAACTACGAGTGCAACTGTGCAACCAGGCTGTTCTGATTTCTGATTGTATTTGTGGTATCCAGATCGGAGGACACTTACATAAATGACTAGATTGACTATTTCTATATTTCCAGTTGTTTTCTGATGTTTAAAGGTTCAACTTCATATCTATATTCCTAGATAAGCTTCATAACTTACATTTCATAATGCAACAAGTAGAGGAAGTATGGTTTGTAGGCTGGTGGAGATTTAGGTTTCCGCTCTAGAAAAATGTACTTCAAGCACCAATGTCATTTGGCGCATCATTTTGCATTATCAATATTCATGAAAACAACAGATCAAGCTATTCTCAAAAGTATTTCTAAATGCATATGCTATGACTTCAGACATTTCTGCATTTTCACCCTTAGTTGAAACTAGTTCAAAGCAAATAAAAAAGAAAAGGAAAAGCTAGCTTGAATATTCAAACTATGAAACCAAAAAACCTAACAAACTCCATCCGGCTCTAAATTCAGACGCAGACATCTTTTAAGTAGCACTAACTACAACCAAACTTTCCAAAATCAAGGAATCAAACCAAATTGTGCAAAAGCCCATCTGTTTCAATCCAAAAACCAATACATTCAAATAAGAAGCATCTTGATCTGATTTACAAAATTAAAAGGAAAAGAGGGAACTAAAAGACGAAATTGACAACAGTAGGGCAGGGTGCTCACCGTAGACGAGTACCGGAAGAGAAAGGATTCATGATTTCGTCCAGGATTGAAACTTCCGGATAGAGCTGGAATCAGATCCAATCAATTAAACGCGGCAACTAAATCAATCAACGAATCACGGCTGCACGTAATTAAACGGAATTTCTATTCAAATCCAAGGATCCGCAGCTTCAAGATCCAAAAGTTGGAATTCGGAGATCTAAGAAAGATAGAACAGGCAGAGATTTGGATCTGAGGAAGAGAGAAAACGCAAGTCTCTGTTTTCCTTTTATTTTCTTCTTTTCTCCCAGTGACAACGAAAATGCTGCCTGCTTCTTTTGTCTATGTAAAAATAAATTTAAAAATAAAAACCAAAATTGATAAATAAATAAATAAATAAAAACTGGAAAACGGGTCGCATTTAATCTGCATAAAAATATAACCCATGGGTCAGACGGGTCGAGTAAAAGTTTCGATGTAAATTCTACTGTTAGTTAGTAGTTACACAGGCGGATCTAACTTGTTCAGGGTGAATAAGTGTATATACTGAAATTCAATTTTTTTTTAAATTTTAAATTATTTTATTAATTATATTTATTTTAAATTTTTATTTTATTTATTCATATAATTTTTTATTAAACTAAAGTAATTATAAAGTAATATTTGTTCATATAAAAAATTTATATTGATAATATATATGCATAAATCCTAAAAATATTTTTATTTATGTTACCCTTTAATTAATGTCTTTTTTTTTATAAATATTGTCTTTTAGTTTTTAGATTCTACTTTAGCCATTTCTAACCTTTTTTTAGAATTTTAAAAATTTAAAATTAATTAAAGGGATAGTATTAATTACGTTAAATTTTATTATTAATTGTATTATATATAAAATTATAGATTTAATTTTTATTTTTAATCTAATTATTTTTAATTTTATAATTTAACAATTTATATTTGAATGTGACCGAAATTATCTATTCAAAAAATATAAATTAAATATATAATTTACTTATATTTCATTTTCATAAATATTTTTTAAATTAAATAGATAAATATTCAAAATTAATTTTACATAGCATCAGTTATTAAAGCATAAAATATCAACGTGACAGAGCATCTAAATAAATATATAACTAATATAAACTTATTTAATGAGTAAGTACATTTGATCGTTTAAGATAATCTTTTTCAAATACATATTTAATGGTTGAATTATTAATTTTTAGTATAATTATCTAAATTAAATCTATTTAACCTATTGATCGACTAATTTGAACAGTGTGTTGTAGAGATTTAATATGACAATAACTCTCTCAACTCAGTTTATTTCATTCATAATATCGGAATTCGAACTTTTAATTTTATATACGAACACAAGATGTTGTGGCTTTAATCCAACAACAATATAAGCTTAGTAAAATCTGATGACAATGGTTGAATCGTCAACTTAAGCTCAACACAAAAGATCCCATTGTAGCCTTACAAAATGTAGGCTAGCAGGACAGGAGTGAACCCCAAGTAGCACCAAAGCTGCTCCACAGACCACACAGACTCATTTCTCTATGAACAAAGCTCAGTTCTGTGTTTAATAGCCATGAATTAACCCAGATTTGATCGGAAGTGAATGTCGTAGAAATGATCGTACATGTTATCTCCATGATAAACCGGCTTCATGACTACAGATTCCTGCTTCCTATTTTGTTCTTGAACTGCCCCGAAAACGATCTCGTTGTTTTTCTCATGGCTCTGCTCATGGTAAGTATGCGGAATGGATGATTGATTCCGCTGCTGCTGCTGCTGCTGCATATTAGAATTCCATCCACTGTAGAACACTCGGCTTTGTCGCAACTGATGGATCTTTTCCGTATCTATAGACATGAAAGGGTACGTTTTCCTTGGTGTAGGGGTTCGAGTATCGATCGATGGGGGCTCATCGTCATCTGGTATCAAAAAGCTCTCCTGTGCAGGCCAAGGCATTGAATGCATCTGTTGTTGCTGGTGCTGGATCTGATGATATTGTTAGCTTACTGGCTTTTTTCGAAAACCAGGAAATACTCCTCCAAGAATTTCCGAAACGCATACACCACCATTGACAAAAAGCTTCCCAAGGGATCCGAAAAAGCCTTCTTCTTGCTTCACTTGTTCATCTTCATTTGGAATGAGTGCCTGGTATGGACACGAACTCGATACAACAGCATTCACATTCTTGGAGGATACAATGGTGCCTACTCTACGCTGTAACAAACCTAGCATGTAACCGAAGAAGCCGGCTGCAACAAGTACTCCAATCCCTGCAATGACAAACTATAGTGCGTAAAGCTCGAATACTGACTAATGGACATGAAATTCGGGTGGTTTATTCGTTTACCAAGAGGGAAGCCATTTCCATATCGGTAGGCGCAGTCATCAAAACGCAGTTGAATCTCTCTGATAGCTCGGTTTCCCCGATCTATCACGAGAAGGGAGCAACTGCTTCCAACGTAGACGACATCAAAATCATTAGAGAACTTTGCATCTTCACCCGGTCCATCTGCATGTCCCCCTCCATGTGTCCATTTCCCACCAGCAACGGTTGTAACACCTGAAGAGACAACCACATTCAACGACAAATGTTTAGGACACCAAATACTAAGGACATGGGGGTAAAAGACCAGAGCCATATAAAGGATGAAAAACTTGTATAGTTAAGCCAAAATAACAAGTGAACTCTATTTTCTTTGTCGGACAACTCGGTGATTACGTTGCTAACCTGCATCGCTTATTTTCCTGATTGCCATATTCATCGTGTCTGCGATAAAAATGTTCCCTCTGTCATCTACCGCTAACCCTTTCGGGTGGTTCATCCTCGCCTCTCTAGGCTTACCGTCGACATGTCCAGGGTATCCTTCAGGGGAACCAGCAAGCAGCGTTGGTCTATTATCTGCAGTTCTCCAAAAAATCTAAACGAGATAAGAAGGCGATGGGAAATGTCATACGAACTTAGCAAAACCGTGCACTTTCCTTTTATGATGCAAGTCGAATAACCAAATTCGACCGCCAACATATGCAAACACCACATATGTTTTCCTTTTCCATTAACTTAGAACTATCAGAACGCAAAGATCATACTAAAAATGCTGTGGGAATATAAAATCAAAACAAACAATTAGAACAACTAAAGGCAAATGCAATGAGCAAGAGAGCAACCACTTACATAAAGATAAAGAAGCTGAAATTCGATAAAGGTTGCTATTATCAGAGTCCAAAATCAGCACCTCTCCAGTAGGCAAAACCTCAACAGTGTGAGGCTCAATCCCAAGCTTACTCCCATCAAACACGGTCTCAACTGTGTATCCACTCTCAAACATCATCATCGGCTTGCTAGTGATTGCTATCCACATCATCATCCCTTGGAAACTACCATATCAGATACCATTCTCCAAAGCCAAAAAAAAAAATGAAAAATGAAATATGGGTTCCAACAGTATCAGAGATCCAAACCTGTTTTGTTATTAGTTTTGAGTGACCATAACCATTTCATAATGACTGACAGAGCATTAGATAAAAACCCACTAACGATCTCTGCAAAGAACAAAAAGAAAGAACATATCAAATCCATTTTTCATAAAAAGCTAGGATTTAAGCTTTAAACTAATAGAAGCTTACTTGCAGGTGAAGAAGCAGTAGGAGCTGAAGAGACACCTCCAAGAAGAAGAAGAAACAAAAGAGAAACACCCAGAACCAACACATTTTTCCCCATTGTTGCTATCAACAAAGATTTGTTAGATATTTGAGAAAGATTCAAGCTTTTACACGCTGAGGAGAAACCCAAACCCAATTTGGAACCTGGGTCTTTTGCAGAGAATTGGATGAACAAGTATATATGCTTAAATGCTACTTAGCTTCTACTACTGGAAGTTTGGCAACAAGGACCAAAGTTCACGTTAATTCGCAGCTTGAATCCTCACTGCTTACCAGGGGTGTGCAAAAAAATCCGATCCGACCGATCTGATCCGTTGATCCGATCTGAAAATTCGGATATCCTATCTGTTTTTTAATTTTCGGTTAGTTCGGATCAGTTATCCGAATTTTTTTTTTTGGATTTCCGGATCGAATACGGATCGACCAAAATCCAGTTTCGGATTATCCGAAAACCCGAAAAAATTTAAGCTATATTATTAGCCCAGAGCTGTTTGGGCTATATTAGTTTTTTGGATGTATAGATTTCTGAATTCTAGCTTGTATTTTAATATGCAGCATGTATAGATTTTTGGATTCTATCTTGTATTTTACATAGCTTGAAACACAAGTCGAACAAGGTTGAAAATTATATTTTTGCTTGTCCCATCACCACAAAAGAAACTTTACATGTATGATGTGAATCTGGTACCGAGGCTGATAAATGCATTTTAGAATGAACAAAGTTGTTGCCGACCCCCGGTTCGATTTCGAAAAGTTACAAGCTTACTTGACTCGTACCTTGTGAAAGTTTCAGCAAATTACTACTTGAACCCTTCAAAGTTTGCAGCATTAGTCCTCCTGCTGCCAGATTTTACAAGAGAATCCCATTATGGCCTTTTTCGAGCCATAGACATTTATCTGCAGGTATTGCTATTAACTTATAAATTGTTATAAATGTAATTAATTGTTTTGCACAAATTCTCTATTTTTCTTACAATTGAAGTAATGATGTTGGTGTAGTATATTCCTTGAAAGTTTGCAGGCCTTTTCCTAGAGCTCAATCAATTCAGTTTTGTAAAATTTAGGTAAATTCATTTCATGTACAAAATGATAAGGGCAAAATTGATATTGTAGCTGGTTAAGTGTACATGCTAATTTTAATTTAATTGCTCATACCTGAATGAGATCACTTATTAATTAGTATTGGGACAAATGCTAATCCAATAACTCAAGTTTGCTGACTGATGAAATTTCAGAACAGGTTCATGGAGGAATATGTGAAGCACAGAAAATGAGAATTTGCAGTGCACATAACTATGCAAACCTCTCGACGGATGCATTGAGACACGTGGCTCGGAACTCGAAATTTTCGTCAAAAAAAGCTATACAAGGTTTCCTTAATCAGCAGTCGAAGCTAGAAAACTTACTTGAAGGACAAAAATACATCGACACATTTAGCGGTTTCATCTCTACCAGGGAAATCATAAGAGCTAGTAAGTGTTTCTTATTTGATTAATACTTTTATTATGTTGATTTTTTTTTTGCCTAAAAAATCGGATTCGGATCCGGATATTCGGATATCTGAATTTTCGGATATCCGATTTTTTCGGATCGGATACAGATCATTACTTTAGGTATCCGAAATTTTTGGATATCCAAAAATTCGGATCGGATAATATCCGATATCCGATAATGCACACCCCTATTGCTTACCATATTTACTAATAATATGTACAAATTACCATTGATGTGATTTTTGCTACATTGAAATGCCAAATTGAGAGTTCAATAATATAGCAGCAAATGGAAAGGTGGGGGATGTAATAACAAATGCTAGGCTTGTATGTTGAAAATAGTCGAATCTGAGCTTATGCCTGTCGGTGCCAGCCTGGTCTCAATTGGGTTATTAGTAGACAATGATGTGCTTTAATTTACCCTATAAGTGGTCCTTTAACCAATAAAAAATTACACTTAAAAGTCAAACTAATAAGATTTTCATAATAATAATGATTTAATTGGTTCTAACCGTTAACCATTTTCTTCATCGATTTAATGAAGTTTTCAATGTTTGATTTGCAACATATCAAATAAATCATTAATTTTCGATTAAACTGATATGTTTTTTTTGGGATAATCTAATGTGATTTATTTTTTTATTACTGCACATACCATGTATTGTTTATATTTTATAACCCACAATATAGAAACTAAATAATAGTATTAGCTTATGCATTTCGGGGTTGGGAAGAACAAAAGTAGAAGTAAATAAATACTATCAACTACTTAATAATGAATGCTTAAATATTTTTATAGACAATGTATTTGAATTTAATATTTTTAAGGATAATCGTTTCGTTCGTGCTCCTCCATATATTTGAAAGGAAAATGAAATCAGTAGATACCAATTGCATCAAGCTAAACATTATTTTTAATACAGTCAGGTTCATCATGATAAAACCAAGTCATATCAGAACATTTGTATTGAGTGTAAAAATATTCTTCATATATAGATAGTATATCATCATAATCAATAATTTATCGTTTAAATTAAAAAGAATGAATTGTCAACTATCATTACAGACATTTTTTTCGTTGAACCACAATAAAAAAAATGTTGGTATTGAAAGTAAGAAGAGACGATTGCTATCTCTGTCTCGAAAGGAAAGAGTAAACCGTATTCGAATTCTAAACTTAATAAACATTTGAAAACAAATACAAATCCTGTCACTGCAGCTACAAATGATTGAGAGCTGATCAGTGATCACCAAAGGCCCATGCTTCTGTGTGATGGATGTAATGGAAATTCTGCCGTGCGGAAGCTTTAATATACTGTTAAAGAAAGACGTTATCGATTTTGTTATTATTTTTTAACATTTTCGGTAAAAAATTACCTAAAACATTATTATTTCTACCTAAAATATTAATATTTTTTAACATTTCCGGTAAAGTGTCAATAATAACAAAACCAGTAGAAAAAAAATAATATTTTAAGTAAGATTTTACCGGATATGTTAACAAAACCGGTAAAGAGCCTAATAATAACAAAATCGATAGAAATAATAATATTTTCCGGTAATTTTTTACTAGAAATGTTAAAAAATAATAACAAAACTGATAATGCGTTTCATTAATCGTATATTAAGACCGCCGCACGTGAAAATTTTCCTATTATGTAGGGTGAAAAAAAAAGACTAAAAGAACCAACAAACGACATATCTCTGATGTAACATGTTCCTTTGCTTTTTGTTTGTCTTTACATTACAATTCCCTTTATACCATTCCCTTTGCTTGCCTTCCATCATAAGGATATTATTCAACATCTTATTATAAAATCGATTTGAATTAGTATCATATTCATTATCCAAATTTGTTTTACTTTTTTAAAAATTTCATTTAAAATCATTTTTAGACTCGTTAAATGTGGATTTTTAACAGATTCCGATATCCAATAATAATTTAATTAATATTACAAAAAAATACAGATATTAAACCTGTCTTACATTACATTACCTTACCATTTACCATCACCTTAAACTTTATTTAAAATTGAATTAAAGATAAAATCAAAATATTATGTATACTTGAGTTTAGGAATGGAAGGAAGAAACTGCTGAGCATTTTGTTTCCCTAATGGCATATGATCTGAAAAAAATCAAATTGACATTTTGAATTTGTATTGGAGAGCAATGTATATACACAAGTTAACAGGTGCCTCTAAAAGAAGGGTAAAAGTTAAAACCGTCCAGTTCCCGCGTCAATAAGAATATGGTTACCATATTCAGAACCATACCTGGCAAGTACCGAGAATGCTTCGGATAATTTAGGATCGAGTTTTCCCTCATTCAAGTTGAATGTGTTGAAGCAAGCTGATATTCCGATGTATGGAGCTGGTAAATTTGCACCAGCCACCCTGTTCAAGTCAAGCAGTACTCTCGAAAGAAACCTGGATCTCCGCAAGGCGCTTAGGCTTTGAGATCATAGCAGTTGTGAGGCCTTGAAGCATTTTCAAAACGTCGACGGTATCATCAAGATAATATTTTGCTTTGCTAGGCTTTCATCCAACAGTGCACGCAAAGATTTCAGGAGCCACGGGCAATGATGGTTTAGAAACAGATGTTAATATGCTCTGAAACATATCTTCATCGGATTTATCATCACCAACACACATAACAAAATTCGGTCCCTTCCCACCGTTGACCATTTTTGACACCTTCTCTGCGACCAACCCTTTGCTTACTCCCTGAACGATGAAAATCATTGATGAGAAAGTTTGATAACCATATTGCACACAAAAAATATAATAAAAAGTAAAGATAGGCGGCGGTATTTAGGAGGGGAAAATTCACTTTTTTCATACCTGCGGTTTAACTTCAACAATATGCTGGCTTCTACTAACAACTGCCGGTTCATTTGCAAGAACATTTTCGAGATCTAACAGTTCCTTAGCTTGGCATGATCCGAAATCGGGGTCCGCATCTTGGTGGTGCCACACCAAAGCACTCTCTTTAATTTCTATTCTGGAGCCATCTGTTGCCTCTCTATAAAGGCTCATAACTGGTTCTGCAACCTTCTTCCATTCAAGGTCAGCACCTAGAGGACTGGTTTCCATTCGGAATCTTTACTCCATCTGGAGAAGAAAGGAAAATGACCTCAGACTACTTTCAGGCAATTAGTTTCATTACTGGTTAAATATTTACGACATTTTCATAAACCTACCTCGTGAAATACCCATGTTCAGCAGCTATTCCCAGCATCTCACATGGAGCAAGCCAATTAGCAAGTGAGGTTCTCCCTCTTCCGCTAACAATGAACACCGTGTTCTAAGGATCATCAGAAAGGGTCTTGAGGATAGAGAAGTTCAGGGCTAGGAGTCTTAATGACGGAAGCTTCAGGAACAACAGTGCCATCATAGTCCAGAAATACTTCTATTTGTTCGTTTATATGCTGAAAGAATGTGATCAGTAGACAGCCTCCTAAAACTTGGAGATAAAGACACGACTGTGAAACTAAAGCCCCAACCAATGCCCCAGCAGCGCTTACTAAAATGATCTTGGCATGCTCTATCCAAGTCCTGTGCAA